TCTTTGCTGTTATCTGAGTAATTATTTCTGATTTCATTTTTCCCAGATCCTCTTTTGTTGTCAGTTCAGAGAGTCCAAGTGGTTGAGTATCACATTGTTCCATCTCATTTCCCTTTGGGGTTGCTCTAGGTGATGCAGAAGTCTGTTTTTGAGGCTTGTTTATGTGTCTTCTCATTTCCACAGAGTGGGGTGGGGGGAGTGCTTCTGGCACCCATGTGGCTCACCTTCTCTGCCCTAGGAGCTTGGGCTGGCAGCGGGGGAGCTTCCTTCTGCGTGCTGGGACCAGCTCAGCTTCTCTGCCCTAGGAGCCTGGGATGGAGGCGGGGAGCTTCCTTCCGGGTGCTGGGACCAGCTGAACTTCACTGCCCCAGGAGCCTGGGATGGCGGTGGGGGAGCTTCCTTCTGGATGGTGGGACCGGCTCCTGTATTTACCTGTTTTGATGGATTTTTTTCCTCCAGTATTTTGCCATTTGGAACAAATATGTTGTGATCTTTCCTGCACAGTGTTCCTAAAAAAATATGTTCATATTTCTCGAAGATAAATATTTAAGAATGGAATCACAGAAATTGTGAAATTTACCAGGTAATGTCAAATAACTGTCCAATGTCATTGACCCAGTGTATGCTTATTCAAGCTATGTAAGAAAGTTCCTATTGTTCCATCTTTTTATTGTGTCAAGGGACAAAATTACAACAAAGTTACAAGATTTTTATTGACTTTATTTTTGATTCTAGAACTAGGCAACACCAAAGGATAAGTGTTCTAAGAGGTCTAGCAGAATAGGTTTGTTTTATAGATAGAAAAGGGCTTGAAGAAAGCCGAAACACAAATCAAAAGTAGACTAGTCATTTCAATTTCTTCACATGTAAGGCAAGGACAGGCTCTGCTAACTTGCAGGGGAGCAACTAGTACCTGCATGGTGCTTGAAGAGGAAGCCAACACCTCAGCAGGCAGGATGGAAACACAGGCCAAGTTTCTCATAAAGCCAGGCCTACCATGGCCTTTTCAGCAATGGACATACATTCTTTTTATTTATTTTTTAACATTTCTTTAAGCAAATTAAACATTTTGAAGTATTTGTGCTATAGTCTGAATGTGTACCCAAAAATTCATGTGTTTGAAACTTTTCTTTTTTGTAATGCTGGGATTATACCCAGGGCCTTATGCATGCCAGGCATGGGGTCTACCATGGAGCTACATTCCCAGCCCTGTTAGGAAACTTAATACCCAATCCTACAATGTCAAGAAGAAGAGCCTTTGGGAATTGTTTAAGTAATGAGAGTAGATTATCCATTATATAGTAAATCAACTATTTTAAGAAGGTTTGAGAGAGTCATTTTTCCCTTTTTTGCCCTTCTGCCATGTGAAGACACAAATTTCATCTTACCTTGTTCTTCTACCTTCTTTCATGGAAAGATACATATACAAAAGGCCCAGATCACATGCTGGTACCTTGACTTTAGGCTTCCCAGATCTTACAGTGTGAGAAATAAATTTCTGTTCTTTATAAATTACCTGGTCTGAAAAAAAAAAAATAAATTACCTGGTCTGCAGTACTCTGTTGTAGAACAACACAAAACAGACTAAGATAACTTGTGACAGGAACACAGAATTGATGTGCTAGCTGGAATATAATTAATTTGATTAAATGGTTATACTGAATTCACATATTGAAAATCACACAGTAAGTGAAACAACTATAAATATGAGTAAGGTTATATAATCATAATTATTGGCAGAATCAAAAAATATTTATTGTATGATAAATTCATTTAATAGCTTTCTGTAATCTATATTGGTTGGATAACTGTTGACTACTATAATCAAAAGTAAACAGAGGAACTAGAAAACACATAAAGCTAGGTGTGTTCATTGCTACTGGAAGATCAATGCTACTACATCCCCTCAGATGACAGAGTGAGGAGATATGTATGTTCACACTAACCTGTGTACATATACATACTGATAAATATAAGTAACCGTCTCTATCTACGTTAAGCATGAGTTCATACTGATGTCTCCCACTCAAATCCATTTATTTTTTTTATTTTTTTTTTTATGTTAACAGCTTTATTCAGGTATAATTTATATATCAATGTTTTACCTGTTTTAATTATACAGTATAGTTTTTAATAAAGTTATACAACTATGCAATGATCTTTGCAATTCAGGTTTCAAGCATTTTCATCACCCTAGAAAGTTCTTCACGCCTGTTTCTAATCAGTCTCCACACCCATCCTAGCCTCTATATGCTGTCTCTATAGATTTGCCTTTTCTAGAAATTTCACATGAATGTAATGGTAGAATGTGTGTGCCTCACATCTTTCACTTAACATAATGATCTTAAAGTTCACCCACCTTGTAGCACGTAGGTCATGACTTACGTAGGTCAATCCGTATGTAGGTCATGTAATTATTCCACTTCACTTACCTGTTCACCAATTGATGGACATTTGGATTGTTACCACTTACTGGCTATTATAAAGAATGCTGCTATGAACATTCATGTACAATTCTTTCCATAGACACTTATTTTCATGCTCTTATATAGATTCATAGGAGCTGAACTGATAGGTCATATGGTAAGTTTGTGTTTAACTTTTAAAGAAATTGCCCAGCTGTTTTCCAAACTGGCTGTACTACTAGCAGTATACAAGGGTTCCAACATTCACTCTTTCACCATTAAGGATCATGTTAGCTGCAAGCTTTTTATAGATGTCTCTTGTGTCTAGTAGTATTTCTTGACTTGAAATCTATTTTACCTACTATTAAGTTAGCTACTGTTTATATTGTTCTCCATCTTTGATGTCCTCGAATCCATTTAAATAACCATAATAAGATGAAGTTAGATATGCCCTCTGCTTCAGATACAATTATTCAATTATAAACGTTTTGTCTTCCCATTTTTGAAACTGACTGTGATAAAGAGGGGGGTCTGCCTTTGCAAATAAAATACCTGCAAACACCTTCAAATAGTAAAAATTACTAAAAAAAAGACAATCATCATGCTTATGAGACACAGTCTATGAAAATCTTTTATTTATGAATTAATACAGGGCTTCTGGGAGGAAACTACATGATGTAGGGGTATGTAAAATATTATGACTCATCCCCTGGTCACATTTGAGCAAATGGTGCTCAAAACTACTCCCTTTTCAAAACTTTCACCATAGGCACAACAAACAAACCTGCTCACCAAACCTCATGCACAATTTTAGCTTAACCCGCTCTTCCTGAGCCTTTCTTTTATTTTTTTTTGGTACCAGGGATCGAATTTGAGACCTTGCACTTTCGAGGCAGGCGGCAGAACCACTGAGCTAAATCCCCAGGCCCCTCCTGAGTCTTTCTTTGTAGTCCTAGGAGGATGCTGTTCACAGGAGGAAGCCTCCTGTAATAAAATGTTTATTTTAAAGAAACGAGCACTATAAAGAAACTAGAGAAACCAAAACAGTGTTCATATTAAAAATGACAAAAGCAATCTAATTGGATATAAAATCTCAAGAGGACCAGGACATAAATTCTAAGAGCTGATGTGTTGTCTTGTGTTGTAAATAGCTCTGTTCTGGGGGTTGACATTGTTGGAAGGCAGACTACATTTCAGTTAAATAGAGACATGTTGGGCTACATTTATTGGTTGCAAGAAAGATCTGTTCCAGCTAAATTCTAAAGAAACCATGAAAACAGACAACTGAAATGTTCCAGAAAACAATTAGTTTTAGGGGTGGGTTCCCAAATCTAGGAGACTGTCCAATAGCTAAAATGAGTTTACCCCTAATTTCTTTTCCTTTGTTTTAGCTGTTGTTGGATAGAAGGTCTGGTAGAGAGATACGTAAGGAAAAGGATTGTTTTTCTACCATTTACAGATGGGTCCTTGCCCTTTGTACTGGTTCCTGCAAACATTGCTACCATACTCAAACATAAGAGAACCTGCTTGGAAATTATCCAATACCTGTGCTTTCCTTTTAGTAGCTTCCAACACCATGGGCCACCTGGCAGAGTTAAAAAAAAAAAGGTCAAAGTCAATTTTCTTTTTTCTGCTACTTAGATTAAAAGGCAAATTAATAAAATAAGTCTGGGGGCTAGACACCCTGGGATTCCTTTTCTTCTTTTCTTTTTTTTCTGGTATTGGGGATTGAACCTAAGGACTTGTTCTAGGTAAGCACTTTACTACTGAGCAATGCCCCCAGCCCTTTTTATCTTATTCTGAGACAGAGTCTCCTTATGTAGCCCAAACTGACCTTGAATTTGCAATCATACCTCAGCTTTCCGAGTTGCTAGGAGGATTACAAGTGTGTTCTACTCAGCTCTGGGGTTCCTATTGCCCTACTTACACTTCTCTTTCTTCCTGTACTATTATTCTTTCTTTAAAAAAAATTATGGTTAAAATTTTATTATTATTATTATTATTGGTACTGGGGATTGAACTGGGGACCTTGCGCTTTCGAGGCAGGTGCCGGAACCACTGAGCTAAATCCCTGGCCCTATTATCACAATTATTACACCTCTCGTGAAAGTTTAAATGTTACAGCAAGGTGTAAACACTTCACTTGAGAAAGAAGTGATACTTCTTCCCCTTCAAGAGTTACCCCCATGCACCGGTACTGACGGTACCCTGTCCACACAGAGTGACTGGGGTCCCTGCATGGGCCAGGCAGGGTAAAGGCTGCCTGCTTGCTGGCCTCCTCCCTTGTTTAACAGCTAAGGGTAGAATGCAAACCCCAGCTCAAATGGAGAGATATTTACATACATTTTATACAAATATACAAGAAACCAGCAGTCTAGGCAACATGATTTCCACTCCCAACACTCTCCCAGACTGATGGATTTTCAGGAGAAACAAAATGAAGAGTTAAAAAAAAATATTCTTCTCATATTTGAGCAAACATCTGATTTCAGGTTTTTTTGTTGGTAACAGGAATTGAACTCAGGACCTTGCACTTGCCAGGCCAGCACTGTGTTGCTGAGCTAGAAATCCCCAGCCCTGATTTCAGGTTTTTTTTTTGGTACTGGGGATCGAACTCAGGACCTTGTGCTTGTGAGACAGGCACCAGAACCACTGAGCTAAATCCCCGGCCCTCTGATTTGTTTTGAAAAGTGAAATTTTATAACAATCACAAAGAGAAAAGACTGTGCATATGATAGTTGTAGGATAGGGTAGAAGAGAAGGGGATGCAAGAGGCTGGGGAATAAAAAGGAGAAAACAAATTAGAAAGAAGGAGACTCACAGTAGTGCCTTGTCCAAAAAAAAGAAGTTAAGAGTCACTGCGGCACTAGGGATTGCTCTTGTCATATATTTACTACCCCTACCATGGTTATCACTGAATACAAAATTAGATAAATAAAAACACATTGGATATTATAGTAAACAAGCGACAGAAATAAGATGGAAACGATATGGAATTTAAAAAGACTGTACCCCACCTGGGCTGGGTCCAGAGCACCTCCAGGGGTGGACAGCCAGCACAACGCACTGACAGAGAGAAGCCAGACTGCTTTGTCTCTCATGCACAACAATGTTAAGGGTGTGGGTGGGTTGCTAACTCTCTTATGGACCCACTCTCACATAAGCAGCCCCCAAAGAAAAGCAGAACAAGCCCACACACAATCACAGTCCCGTCGGTGCCACTGCACAAACTTACCTTCTCACTCTTATCCTGCAGTCAGAGTATGTGTCCCCAATCACGGAGGCAGTGCCACTCACGGGATCCTCAACTCCTTATTAACTGCAAGTGAAAAATAAAATTCAAAGAATTCTCAGATCACTTGAGATCCTTCCTTATCAGATCAATTGCCAAAAGCTGCAATTGATTACATTGAATATCATTCCACTTCTGTCTGCTTACTCCATGGGTTTGTAAATTGTGAAACAGGTAGGAAGAAGGAGTGGGATGGTATCATCTAGGGCTCAATCTCCTCAGATAATCTGATCCCAAATAATCAAGAGTTGACCAGGGCCAGGGATTTAGCTCAGTGGTTCCGGCACCTGCTTCCCAAGCGCAAGGACCTGAGTTTGATCCCTGGTACCAAAAAAAAAAAAAAAAAAAAAAGGTAAGGAGTACTCCTGGTAAACACATCTTAGCCACATACATCTGCTTTTGGAATGGTTCTTTTAGGATGAACATTTTTTCTTAAGTGCACACAACCTTAACATTTCTTGGATGTCTTGGGGCCTTGAGACTGGCTCTTTTCACTGTTTGTTTGTTTATTTATTTATTGGTACCGGGGATCGAACTCGGGTCCTTGCACTTGTGCAGCAGGCGGCGAAACCACTGAGCTAAATCCCCGGCACTGTTTTTTATTTTTTGGTATCAGGAATCGAACTCAGGGCCTCATGCTTGCCAGCCAGGCACTGTGCCACTGAGCTATATCCCTGTTTTTTTTTTTGTTTTTTTTTTGGTACCGGGGATTGAACTCTGGCCCTCGAGCTTGCGCAGCAGGTGGCGAAACCACTGAGCTAAATCCCCGGCCCCCTGTTTGTTTTTTTTAAATGAAAAATTTTTTTTCAAAATTAAATAAAAACGATATCCTCATTGCACAAGTGACTACAGACTACAGGCAAGGATGGGTGTTAGAGGCTTCAACACAACTTATTACACTTAGAACCATTACTAACTGGAACATCACTTGCTTGTCAACAATGTACCTTTAAGAGCAGA